TTGATACACATTAACTCTGCTTTCCCAAGGCTTACCACACATCGCACCCTTACTCGTATACTTGCAAATCTGCATGACGTTGCTCGTCGTTAGACTAATGCTTTCCAAATTCAAAAGACTTAATTAGAAATATATATCAGTAGTATCTCTGGTAGAGGTGCTCGTACAAAAAATACAAAATGCAGCTGGAAAGGAGTGCAGCACATGTTGTAAAGTTCACCGTTCCAGGTCAAACTTTCTGTCGTTAGTTCACACTGAGAGTGGACTTACTATTTAACAGTGAAAGCGACTAACAGGTAGACTGGTCAAAAGGATCTATGTGGCATTAAAACCACATGCGAATGAAAATACATGTACATGCAGGTTATTATGTGGATGTACCCTTCTAATTCAGCAAAGTTTGGGCTGGGTGATGTCTCGTTTATGAGTAGGTGGTGTCATCTCAGCAGTTGCGTGTAATTAACAGTTTGGGAAAGGTGGACAGATTATTAGAATGTTTAAATGCTTTCAAATCATCCAAGCTGTTTAAATACTTCAATTATTTAGTCTCTATTCCGCCAGTACTAAAGTGGCCAATATGGTGTGTGTACGGTTATTATGACTTGTTACACATGTCAAATTTTAACATATGAGTTACAGTGTGTAAAGCTGACATTTACCCCCCAAAATCACAGTAATAACCATTTATTTTGACAGAGCCTAATGTGCTTGAACAATAATCTTGTACAGTTACAACTGACGTCCGAAATAAAATAACCCCGATGTTGAAGTATTTTGGCTTTCTGTAACTCAGGTTTCCTCTCGGAGTGATTTTGGGTTCTTTGTTCTTCTTTGTTTTTTCTCCTGTGTAGGGGCACGGGAACCAGTCGGAATCCCAGACAAGACATCGCCTCCCCTTCCAAATTGTAAATTGGACCAGCACCCTGATCCATGACCCCAGTTGACCCAAAGGTCAACCTGGGTTGAGTAAGGTTTTTTGCCTCCCCCAATTCCCCTTTTTTCCATCTTCGCTGGTGTGTCCTGGGTTTTTGTTCGGGTATTTTGTGTTCTACATCATTCATTGTGGACCTGCCTGGTTTGATTTTTGAAAGCACTTTTTTTGTAAAGTAAAGTAGATTGTAAACACCTGCTGCTACGTCTCGTTGTGTGTAAGTTTTGGCCAGTCTGATGTACTGTGCCAATCAAGTCGGTGGCGGGATTTTAATATACCTGCACACACAGCACTGGTTGAAAGTATCCACTGGCAAAATATTCCACCTCCTGTGTGAATAGTTCCTATACTATGCAGGTGGGCATGGTTTACCAGAGACTCTTCGGGGGTGGGGGGAATTCTCGAGGATTTAGAAGCCATACAGCAAGAAGACTCTGATGGCACAAGATGGAGGATGCTCACTTGCTCAGCCATGTATTAGCCTAGTGATCTACAGATTGTGTGGTTGCATACCACTGTGGTACCGGTACGTAATGACGAGGTGTCAAAAAATGCAAGGCCAACATTGTTGTGAGTTGGAGGGTTGAGAAAAGATAGGGTTAACTTAATATTTGCAAAATATGTTAGAAATTTCAACTACATCGTGTATTGGTAAATTTGAAATTGTAATTTAAAAATCTAGTCTTTGATTAATTCAATGCTCAAAGGAAAAGGTTGGTTGCTACATATTGGTTTATGACGGTTCTTTTTTTTGGTTCTGTTTTGCTTTGTTCTTGCATTTTCTCTGTTCGTTGATCGTAATCTTTTTTTGAGGGCTTTGTTTTTTAATCATTGCTCCCTGAGTGTTATATGTTCAACTGGGAAATTGTACTCTGGTGCCAAAGTAAGACTTTGTTTTGGCCTCAGTCTCAGACCGTAGAGATTGGCAAGTTAACAAAATACTTGTATATTGTGGAATAGAAGCCATAAGACGTATTCACAACAAACAAAGACACAAACATCATGGGATAAAGAGACAGCATTCAGTAAATCTTTCTGATTACAATCAGATGGGTGGTTGAAGAAATGAATAATTTTTTCTTGAGTATGTGTGGTTGGCTTAAAAATGCAAGTATTATTAGCACTTTTAATTTAGCATTCTGTAGTTTTTTCTGCATAAATGGTAGCAACATTTTAACTCCCACAAGTGAATACTGGACAGTGTGCACTCAACTCTTGTTTGTTTTTTTCTCACATTGGTGAGTTTATCAGCATTGATTTTTACTGATCATTGAGAAGTTATTTGCCGTACATGTACATTTACCAGAACTGTCAGTGTGTCGGAAATCTGAAAAAAAAAATATCTATGCACTTTTTAGTCTTGAAAACCTTTGACGGGAAGCGAAGAAAACCATTGACATGGATGGCACATTTTAGAATCAGGGACTTGGTTATTTTTGTTGTCTCACAGTTGGAACATGGAACAGTCTTATTACATGTTCCACTCACCACAGCTCTCTCTCAGGTTGAGATTGAAATTTGGTATTTTGTCCAGTCATTTCTTGTGATAAAGTGTGTAAAAAAAAACAGAATGTGTCATTTTAAACCAATCCGTACAACCGATAAAGGCTCTTTAGGAGTTGGAAACAAAAACAACAAATTAAAACATTGTCTCTTCTTTCCAACTTAATGTCTTATTAAAAAGGAAGGGGAAACTAGTCCTGTGATTTATAGAGCTTAAAATGGCAAAGATGTTTTGCAAGATAGATCTATCGTTCCTTTCCTGTGTTCAAACTCCATGATTGCGAACAGATATTCAAGACGTGCTGTCTGGATAGAATTGTCAATATCTAGACAGTTTGCAGAAGTCCTTGAATGATTTGTTCTCCCAATCACCACCTCTGCCAAGCTCAGGGACCCGTGTGGTCGAAACCAAACAGGAAGGCCCAATTTTAATGGTCTCTCGTTCTGGGAATTCCCATCCAAAAGTGCCATAACTTTTAGATTTGAAATTCTAATGGATCCCAGGTTCTGTTGAACTAAGATCTCTGTTGGCATACCCAGACATCTTCCAAACTTCTTAAAGGGCACACTGACCTCCTTTTTGGTACTGCTACATACTTTTGCATTGAAATCACTACTATGCCACAGCCGAGAGCGGAAATTTGTATCTGCAAAAACCTCCGTGCTGCATGTACAAAATGGTATGACATGTACGATGTAAATAAAAGCAGTTATGTAGTCGAGTCCATTTGCAAGTCCCTGCAAGTCCATCATGGGCCATACAGTGAGAAGTCATGTCACAAAATGTTCAAATGGACTCTGGTACAAGACTTCCTCGGTCTTTATTCATCCTGTCAGTTGTGATTGGTCTTATGAAAATGCCTGTGACTGGACTCGATGTTAACCGGCAAAAAGTGGAGAAATTTTGACACATGCTCGCTGGGGTGTGGGGAAAAAACAACTGCTGTTACATATTTGCCTGTTCATTGGTCAGTTGAAGCTGTAATATGTGTCACGATCATGGTCCTCTGCATCACAAGTCAAATCACAAGTCTGGTCACAAGTACCAGCCCTCATCTCAGTTGATGCGGCATCATATTTAGACAACTTGTGAGAACTTAACATCACTGGCTGTACATGCCATACAGTCTGGTATCCGATGGTGTCAGAATATCATTTGGAGCAGAGTGCAAGGTTTTTTCTGTCGGAGAAAGTCACACTTCTTCAAATTAATTGGCCAAATAGTATTCTCTTGGCCTTGAAAAAGTACAAGTCTAATGTAGCCGTCTCTTAAAATAACAGTAACCAGAGATATTTTTCCTGTTCCAGGTTATGGATTTTTCAACATTCTTACATCATATTTTTTCAGAAAAATTGTCAAAAACAAGTGCATTTCTTGGTAGCACTTGGTAAACTTATGTATTTCAGTATAACAGGTGTATTATGGGACATCAATCATAAGAGACAAAAACCTCAATAATTCATCTGTTTTACAGTGTCCTGTGTACCTGAAGAGCTCTTTATTTTTAATAGATTCACCCCGCCAAGGCCTTTTTATTATTTATTTTCATTCAATTACCAAGTTACACTCCCAGAAAAAAGGAAATAAACAGATGAGGGGCGAAACAATTCAAAAGCATTTCCACAAGTTGTCATTTCTCTGAAACTTCTCCACGGATTAAGTGACCTTTCCACATCGTGGTAACAGGTTTCAGTGTGGTTGCCACAACACATAACATTTGATCTGTTTGAGAGCAATACCCAACTGTTCTTAGAAAAAAAACAGATGGAGTGTTCACGTTTGTGTCAAGGAAATTTCTGAATTCAACGAATCCTGATACCATGCTTGGCTTTGCCAACCCAACATTTACAATCATCTCTTAAAGTACTGTGGCCTAAAATCTGACCCTTAACATACTGAATGGCTAAAACCTATTCACTGAAATGTGCCCTTGCTCTAGTTAACGTCATTAACATACCTCCTAACATGTATAGGGAGTAACAGTGTTTTTCTGAATCCTAGTTCAAGCCACTGCAGAGAGTTCATTTCTTAAAAGAAGCTTTTTTGTCTGACATTTTGGTCATTTCAGAATAAACACAGCAAAGACCTAATGCCAGTAACTTTACTTTTTGAAAAATTTAACTGTTGAGGACATAAACTGAAAAATTACAAAATTACTGTTGATTGGCCCCATGCTCAAATAATTGCTTTAGAAGATAATACATGTAGCTTTCCATTATATGATGCAAAATTAAATGCACTCCAGTTTTGGGGTCACGTGTAAACTTTACACAGAGTTAAACGTGAAACTGCACAAAATTAAATATGTCTGTATTTCAATATTTATGTGTCAGTAATATACTTTTGATTGACTTTCAAGGAAGAGCAGCTGATAAATACGACGAAGCAAAAGGACAAAGATATCTCGGAATGGTTACCTTACCCAAATAATTGTTTTACCAAAAGCTGCTTTAAAGGGTTTTATATACCTCATATACCACACAGCATTTCCACTTTGCATACACATGTATAACTAGATAGAGATCACAACATTAGGAAGATTTTGCAAGCAAGTGAATATGCTTCATGCTCTGGAAGCTCTACCAGTTCTCATACAGCCTTGTATGTGACACCACACGTACTCGCTATCTGCTACAAATGCACACAGTATGGATATCTTGCTCGCTACACTTCAACCTCAAACATCAACTGAATTGTCAAATCTCAACGGCTGTTCTTTACATTGATTCCATCATGCGTGACGCGACTTGAAATGAACAAGGATAGATCTCTGAACATGTATTTATTGTTTGTATGCATTTTTTAAGAGAGATACACCACGGAAATGAGCTTTCACTGGAGGCTATCGTTTGACAGGGTGTATCAGCTCAGTGTGTGCTGTACAGGTTCATGAAACAACCAAATGACTAAATGGTTACAGATAGCATACACGTATACAAACACACGATCAAGTAATATGTCCTCTGGAGTCTACCCCCTTTGCCTGAGCCTACAAGTGCCCGTTGGAGCAACCTCCCTGGGGGAAGGGCGGTGGTGACACTGCAGCCTTCTCTGCCAGGAAGAGCCCCCACTTCTGGTCGCCAGCCTTAGACCGGGTCAGCTTGTTGGTCCAGCCGTCCACCAGATACTGGAAGTCCTCCTCACTGAATTCCTGCAGGCCAACACACCAATCGACAGACAAATCCTTGGTTATAGAGTGCTCTCACAGTCCTGCTTTCAAAAAGTGAAATCTATCCCCACCAAAAACGCCGAAACTACAAGTACACAAAGTAGCCGTGTGATATCAACCAAACTGAGGCAATTCTAAAGCATTCCCTCAGAAAACATAAAACTGAGCTCTGCAAATTGACACATATTCAGATTGTCTTGCCGTAGCTCGCTTCTTTTTGTCAGACTACAAACAGGAGTAGTACTGTAGACCAAGAATGATTCCTTAGTGTCTCAAGATCATTTCTTCAGAAAATAATTGAAAAGTTAAGGCACCTTATGTTAGATGTGGCCTGCCCAGCATGGTGCTGTATCCATCCTCAAGGATTAGACTTTAACTTTGGAATGAACAGGTTATTTGCACTCTTGGGGGTAACTCGTAAGTTGGGAAAAAGTGTTCCCATGTGAGAAATGTTTCTGCAAACTTTGGCCATCCATGCAAATTGTGGGTGAAAGGAGAGTGGTCTATTTGGTAGGTTGGTGAAGCAGCAGTAAGTTCATGGCTTCTGCTGCTGTTGGAGATGTTACGCCTGGACCACGCATGCTTTCATATCACCAGCTCTTGGCAGGGCAAGTTAAGGGACCCTTGTCCCCTGTCTCCATACCTTGATAAACGCCTCCCTCCCTTTCTCAACTTTGGCCTTCTCCGCCTCTAAGATCTCCATGAACTGCTCAGTCCGGTCCTCGGCCTTGACGTTGATGAAGCCTGCCGCCTCCAGCAACTTGATCAGGGGACAAAACGGCAAGGGAATCGTAACTCTGACAAAGGTACACCTCTCTGTCCAGAACTCATTACCGCATGTTGCTATCTCCTCTCAGGTTTTGGTAAGAAAGAACCAGTTCATCACACTTTTATCCTTTAATTCATGTTTGAGAGAGAACGAACTGACTCATTTTACGCTCCCCCAGCTTCAACTCCTCATGAGGTTCAGAATTCTCTTCAGAGTTTCCCTTCAACAAGTCAAGGTTGAGCTTTCCATTCAACTTCTTCTCTCAAAGGATGTTTTTTTTTTTAATTATGCCTTTTGTATTTATTTTTTTAATATTTATTTATTCTTGTATAGCATGGGTATTTCATTCGGTGAAAAAAACTTGCTGATTCACAGAGAAATGGCTCAAAAACAAAAATTTGAAAATACAATATAAGATCGAATGTTAAAACCCAGAAACAACTACACTAATACAGTACAGTGATGCTGAACTGTGTTTAGGAAGGTTGGAAAGTTTTGAAACGTACATATCAGTTTTGTTTCTTTTTTCTTATTAGAATTGGGAACCCATGTAGTTACATGTACCTTAAAATGCAAAGGAATGCAATGAGGCGGAAACATTCTTATTTCTGAACACAAACTGGGCACATCTGTTAGCACACTCTGTAAGGTTGTGGCTCTGACCACAACATTCACAGACCACAACGGGGAAAACTGAACTCATAGGATAAAGCTTTTCCTCGAAATGTGCCCACTGCTGGAGATTGTGTACAAAGCAGGACTGGGATGCCCTCTTCCAGGGGGGGGGCTACTCCAACTGCTGAGAGACTGGCAACAAGTGACAATGCTGGTCCTGTTCATGATATAGTGACCCCTTTTTGCTATGGGCTGAATCGGTGACAGGAAATAGCAACCATTACTTCTTTTATTTCTGTTCATAAAACAGTGCATTCAGGGCCAGTCACAGGATGATTTTGAGCGACAAGGGAAAAGACGACAAAGACATGTTCAGTTTTAGAGGTGGGGAGCAAACCCGAGATAAATATTCCAGGAAAAAACTCCTGGGAATCAGCTGGACTATTCCCAATCCACATGCGGACCTAGGTGGGATTCAAACCAGGGCTGCAGTGGTGGAAGGCGAGGAAAGAGCCACTACACCAACCTTAACCCCCCCCAACAATTAAGTTGTTCTTTGACCAAGGTGGTGTGCATTTATCAAAATGCATGTGTGCCTCGAGTTGAACATTGCATGGCATATCCTTGGGCAATCTGTTGCCCATTTGTTGGTGAAAATGGCGAAAGACCTTACTTGAAGGATCTCAAGAAAACAACATATATTCCTGAATGACTCTAATTATTAGCTTGGTACCTTTCCGTATGCCTTTGGGGTGTACAGGGTGTAACCTCGCTGTGCAATGTAGCTCCTGAAGGCGTCAGTGTGGGGCAAATCCCCGCAGCAGTAGTCTGAGATGAGCAGTTTGCCTCCTGGCTTCAACCAAGTCTGTGGTTAAAATAAAAAAACAACAACGCAAAGTCTGTGAATCCAATCAACAGGAAACACATCTGTCAGACTGTGAGTGCAGTGCAACCATGTAATTTGCAAAAACACAACTGGTTGAAAAAAATCGTGTCAGTTTATACAGTAACATTCATGATGATGTACAAATTACTTTCAGTGGAACCTGATTGATCATGCCCATCTCTAGTCCTGGGAATTTTACACATTCCTGAGGTACGGTCAACTGTTCTGCCATGTAACGGAAAAAAAAAATTAACAGGACTTCACTTGTACGGCACACTTAAGCCAGAAATGAATATGCCACCAGTTCAGGCATTGCAAAATATAATCTCATTCTCTTTTTTGGTTTGTTTGTTTGTTTTTGTTTACCAGGAATTTGTGGAAGAGGCTGGCCTTGTCGCTAATATGTAACAGGGTATCCCGGCTGTACACCACATCAAAGGATTTCGCCTCGTAGTCGCGCTTGGTCACATCTGCAATCTCAAACTGTACCTGGGCGACAAAAATTATAATGGAAGTTTTCATCGCTGTCATTTGCAGAAGTTTGCATGTTGCTACTTCTGACGCCCCTGTCATTCTCAAGGGATGATCCTTGGAGGCCAAAGTGTCCACATGCTTTCCCAATCCACTCAATCCGAAGAAAAAAATTCTCTTTTCTTTTCTCTTGAGGATTTCTAGCACCAAGCCCTAATTGGCCCTCATTTGTATAATGGGTGGACCACAAGGCAGTAAATGACTGCCAGAGAGGACTACACTGCAGCTTCCTATAATTTCCTTAGCAAAGAAAGAGGCATTTTATACCAATATAAGGACTGCTGAAAACATCTCAAACATACACAAACCAAGGAATTTATTTCATTTATTGAAAACTGTTGAATCTGGAATACCGATACTTTCTTGTAGCTCAAAAGTATTTTGAATCACTGTCACCTCAGAGACCTGACAAGTTTTGCTTTGATTTTTTGGTTTTTCATTTCATCAAACCTACTCTCTTGACAACAATGCTGTCTCTTTGTTCAGCTGTTGCCATGACTACCAACCTTCAAGTCTTTGTGTTCGCTGGCTCTCTCCATAGCAATTTCGATCATGTTGCTGGACAAATCCATTCCCACAACCTCCACACCATACGTCTGCATGACAAACAAGAAAAGGAGGGACAGAAGATGAGGAAAAACTTCCATCTTTCTTTGGGTCCTTGGCAGTGCAAGAAGATGTAGAGTTTCAGGAGGAATGAAATCCTTTTCTAACTGACAGTAAATGTGGTCAAGTGGTTGGCAATTACTGAGCTTAAATGGTAGTTTTCCAGTATCAGCACTCCAAAAACTGACTTGCTAAGGAACAGGGTTGTGAATATGTCATCTGATTTGACAGTGCTGCTGTACAAGAAACTTGACCTGATTATCTGCCAACTTCTCTGTTAATTTCAAAATTTATTCTATTAGAGGGATATTGATTCGGAATGAATTTCATTCAATTGATCAATAGCTCAATTTTCCACTGAAGAGTTTTCTAGTTGAAAGTTTCCTAATCTAACATTCTAACAGTATAGCAATCTGTCAAGTAATTACCCTACAAATCAGCTAGTCCATAGTATCAGTCTTTCGAAATGGCAGTGATTATCATGATTTTTACTTCAAACAATTTTGCTATTTATAAAAAAAATGGAAAACAAAAGCAGTAGATAAGCATCTAGCACACATTCACAAAGAAACATAGTAAGTCAGAAAAAGTAATGTACTGCTTCAGAATAATGAAGATCCAAGTGAAGCGCACAGTATGTTGTGCTTCAGCCTTGCATTCTAACCATTAAACTGACCTTTGCCATGTAGAAATCTCCCCCTCCAATCCCAGCCCCAACATCCAAGACCCTCTGGCCTGGCTTCAGACCGATCATTGGTAAGAACTCCTGCAGCACATGGAATGCAAAGCCCACGAAAAGTAAAGTAAATTCTTGGGAGAAGCAAAAGCAATTGAGGCTTTGCTTACACCAGAAAAAAAATCTGCTTCATCACTATCATGGTATAAATTGCATAGTATACAAGAATAACATGATTCATGGTTGATCCTAGCTTCCCAAGTTCAAGGTATTGGGAGGTGAAGGACTAGTTTCCAAGGCAAACTCCATTTGAAATAAATCATGTCATAATTGTTTCACCATACTAAGGCTGCATCCGAATCTCTTGCCTGGAGCTAGGTCTAGGTGTTCACTCCATTAGAAATGTATGGAGACGTGTAGACAATAGACCTAGCCGTAGCTCTGGAAGCCCGTTTCGGACACGGCCTTAGTCCAGGAATGAGGGAAAGGCAGCATGTACATGTGCTGCCATCTGTTCATGTGCAGCGCGCGTGTGTAATTTGCCAGGGAAATAGTTCCAGGGAACAGTTCAATATGCTAGCATATTTGACTTGTGCGCTGATCCGTGTGTGCACACCTGGTGATAACAGCCAAAAAAAGGGCAACTACCAGGGCACCTAGTGTTGACGAATGGATTAGTATTGAAGAGTTCAGCTCGCTGTCAAAACTATGCACCATGTATGGTAACAAAGGATACTACCCTGGAGAAGATAGATAAGGCACTGCATCACCTGCTGATTTAATTTCAGTGGGAGGTCTAAATTACAATTTTTACAAAAAGGTCTTTCTTTATTCTGTAACAGATACAGCTTGGAGTTCCACCTCTCCTTTCCTGAAACTTGGTCAACTTCAAACAAACAAGGGCTCTGTTATTACTGTTTGGAAATCTATATCTCGTGATCTGCCTTGGAAAATCTGGGAAACTGTAAGATAATTAGTTGAATTCACAGACCTTTTCCCATTAATCCCCTGATTTCTCCCCTTTGGGGGGGGTGTGGGAAAGACAAAACCCAGTGGAAGTGGGAAAGAAAGTCCATTTCTCCGAAAAAGGTGTGACTCATGTGTGTATTTTTTTTCTACCTTGGTTGTTTGAGAACCCCCAGTACTGACATAGCCATCTCCAAATATCTTCTCATATCTCAAAATTCCCTGCCGGGTGTACTGTTGGCTGTCCAAGAACTGTTGGAAGGTCTCGAAACCGTGGTTGACTGCCGTGTTTCGCTTCACTTTCTGCATCAGCCAACAGAACTGGTTCTGGTTGTTCTTAAGCTGTGATGGAAGACAGAATGGACACTAGACAAAATACATCTACCTGGAATTGGGTGTTGTCTAACGGGGGAAAATTGATCAATTTGCAGAGGAAATCAACTGTAAAGAAACCTCTGAGTCTGTCTGAAGTTTCAACTAATTTCCAAAAGAATTTCTGGGAAATTATGTAATGGATATACAGTAAAATACCTAATCTGTTGACTGTTATTATTCAAAATTTCCACCAAAATTCATAAATTCCATCAAATAAGAGTATGGCAATGAGAATGGGTACCTTGAACATTCACCAACACTGGCAGCAAAAGGGGGTGGGGATGGGGTGGGGGCAAGTGACACTCGTGTTCCATTTTTCGACTTGGAGGCATGCTCTTCACCCCCCCAGTTTTGGCAAGTCCTATAAAGGGGCAAGGCTTAACGGATCAGTCTATTAATGGCTGATGCCTCATGATCTCACTACTAACACCCCTCCCAATTTAGCAATTGTTCAGCTGCCACTGTTCACCACGTTACCACTTTTTTAATTCTAAGATCGTCACAGTTCATACAGACCCACCCACAATCCGAAACCAAAAATATGGGAATCTAGGAACAGCAAAACAAACCTGACACATCTGATAGGAGGATAGAGGTTAGTAGATTAACTTGGCAGAAAAATAGATGGAGACTGACCTTGATGTAAGACTGCACACTTCTGCTGAAGATAAGATCAAACCCCATGCTGATCCTCTCCGTGTTGTTAAGAGTTGGGTCTGCTTGCGTTGTGCCCTGGAAGATGGCATTGTAGAGGGCCGGCTTGCGGTATATAGTTGGGTTGAAATCACGCTTCTTATTACCTGCGGAGATTTGATATAGAGGCCCCTGCATCATTGATCACATTGCCTTTAAGATTCTCCTTCTAATTATCTAGTCACTGAACTAACTGTTCCCTGTACCAATCATTCTTGGGGAGACTGGTCTTTCTCGCAGGACAAGCCCAAATTCTGGAATGATCTACCCTCGTGAAATCGTCAGTCGTCTCACTCTCTGTATTTAAATCTCCTCTGATTCACCTCACGTTTTTATGTTTAATGAGTTTGTACTCATTGTCAGTGGCTGATTTCTGTTAATCAAATTTACCTTTATTTAAAATTTTAACTGATTTTTGATGTTGTGCACCATGAACAGCTAGCTTGGTGGATAACGGCCTTAGAAATGTATTTCATTAGTATCATTAAACTAAATCAATGCTATTCTTCAAAACAAAATCCTGAAGTCGGTAAAATGTACCATTTGTGTTTCTTGTCCAGTACTGCAATTATGCAGCGAAAATGTCAAAACTTCATTAAAAAAACAGGAGCATGTTTCAGCAAAACAGGCCTACTGACTAAAAAATCTCCCAAAGAAACAAATCAAAAGAGATATAAAATATATATACCGGATTGGTGAAAGCAAGATTCTCTGAAGAAAAGAAAGCCATCTTGGTCAAGCCAGCACAGTGACTTACTGGCCAGTTTCACAACCTCATCATCTGTCAAGTACATCATCAGCCAGTTGCTAAAGATGACATCAAAGCTACATGTATCCCAGTTGACGAAGAAAAGGAAATATTCTATTCATATTGTGACCTTTCCAAAAATTGCCAAATAAAAAGTGAGAGGCAGAGTACAAATATTTCAGTGATGATGGAAAATCAATTTGAAATTATTATCTACAAAACTAAAATTGCTGTACAACTGCCAACTGTTGAAGAGGGCATCAATGCTGTCACAGTTGAAAACAAGAAATCTTTATTTCATCACACCCTCTTACAGAAATTGCCAAATGAGATATGAAAGAAACTCCATTTAAAACAATCATCTGTGAAGAAAGATTTGACAGAATCTTAATTTGTTGTGTATGCCACAGCAATATTGCTTGGGGCTTGCCATGAGTACATGATTTATCTTTGGTTGGTATTTATGTTTGGTGTATGAAAGAAGAGAAATTGTCAAAAGCATGCAGTTGTTTGGAAGATAGATATATTGATGAGGTGAGACCTGGATCTGTTCCCGTCCAGGAAAGCTGATGAACTGTTGAATGGCAAATTTTAAAAGGGCTGTTTTGGACTTAAACCCTTCAAGAATAAATCAACTGATTGCTACCCTCTCCCCAATGGATTATTTTCCCACAAACTTACCTTTCAGGAGCAAAATCCAGCTTGGTGGCATCAGCCTGAAGAAACTTGATGTTGTCGTGGCAACTGTTGAGCTCCCGATTCTTGTTGATGAACGTTTCCATGAAGTCTATGGCTGTCACATGCTTGGCAGACTCTGCCAGTAATCCTGTGAACCGTCTTCAATTGAAAAAAAAATGGAATTCCAAAACATTTGTGCACTTTGCAGCAAAAGAAAAAAACCAAAACAATACACAAAAACAAGAGACTTTAATGTTCTATTAAATGCAACATTGAAACTGCAACAAACCAAGCTTTAATTTGATGTACATCCCTGTCTTGAAGATCTCAAGAAATTATGAATAATTTACCAACCTTTTTGGTCACCAACAGTTGTTTATTTACTTGTCTACAGTCATTATCCGAACAAACAAACTGGTGAGCATGTGTTAAGATGCAGTTAATTCTCAAAAGTTAAGGCAGGTTCCTACTTGGTTTGAAAGCAAACACAATCACTAAATAGTGATTTTAGTATTCCCACTGCAATTTGCAAAAGTCGAACTCATTTCAATTCAAGTGAAGTTTGCTGCAAAAGTTTTGTGACGTCGAACAGCTTTTAACCCCTACTAAGTTCATTGTGCGCAATGTTTGAAAGTCTGCTTACCCAATGCCAGCTCCAAGCTCCAGGATCCTCTTGCCGGCCAAAGAGGGCAGGAGAGACAGTATCTCAGGCTGCTCCTCAGCACATAATGTCCTAGCCTGGGTGTCCAACATCATCTCCTCCAGAGTGGCATCCTTGGAATGGTCATGCCAGAAGTGCTTCATTTGGCTTCGAGCGTCGTCTCCGTTGCTGTTCTTTGGAGAACTGGAGCCATTCAGTTCTGTTGTTAGAAGTGGGAATGTGAAATTAAGACCAAGGTAAAAACAAAAAAAATTCCTTGTCGAGAATTTTTTCAAGGGATTTAAAAAGGCTTTTCTAAAGACAGTGGATTGTTCCAAGATGGCAGATGGATTTTTCATGACTCTTATGTTCATGTTTGTTTTCACCATATCTAACAGGTTTTAAACTTGCAAACAGCAAATACAAGGTCAAACTTTGTTGCAAAGTTAGCAAAAGTAAAAAAAGGAAACAAAAAAAATTCCTAAAAGAAAAGGACATGGGCAGGATAAGAAACTACTTAATTCGTTTACTCAGCCTACTTTTGCCACTTATAAAAGGGCAGCAAAAACATTGGACTTGTTGGTTTCTTCAAAGTCCACAGCCTATTCAAAAATGGGCCACCACAACAGACAATCTCTTGTGTTCATACAAAAACTGCAACTGGCAAGAGCTGTCTGTAAGCCTGATAGCACAGCAAAATTGCATTAACTTACCAATGGAGCTTTCCATTAAGTGTCATGAAATAAATTCTAAACTGATATAACAATGTGGTGCAAAAGATCTGTGCTTCTGACCTGTAAGCAGGCCACCTTTATGGTTGACTAATACATACAGAAAGAAAAAGGGCAACTTTCTGAGCTATATCTTGAAGTTCTGCCTGATTAAGTGCATCACTGTTTTTTCTTATGAATATCAATGCTGAAAAATATTAAATTTCAACACATTTAAAACTTTTTTATAATGTGAAATACCCTCCAATTTCCATTTATAATAACCATAAATGCACATATGTACGTCATGTCCCTCCCAACCATGAAAAGGTCCAACTCACATCCAATATGTGACCTCAACATTAAACCAAGCATGACCTGAAGATAAAACCTCAAGTCAATTGTGCTCTCTATCAACTAAATCTAATATCAATCAAACAGTGTATAAACTCCTTTGTATTCAAATTGAGGTCGCCCAGAGGATACAATGTGATAAGGTCAAAAGCCAGAACACCAGAACAACATACAATACAGGAATTTCAAAACAATATCTGACATTCTTTATAAAGTTCTTTTCATCTTCAGTGGCAGAGCTAGGATTTTACTAGTGGGAGGGGGGGCACCAAAGCTTTCGGTGGTGTGGTTTTTTTTGGGGGGGCAAGCTTTTGTTAGCCTTGTTCAATATCCATTCATCCATTTTTTTCAGTGGGGGAGGGGCACCTGGGGGGCACTGGGAATTTGGGGGGGGGCACATGCCCCCCAGCCCCCTGTGGCTATTCCACTGTTTATTTTGACCTGCATGTTAAATAACACTAAGGCTAAGAAAAAATTAATTTTCTTTTTTGCAACCTAATTAATTTTTTGGAGTAATTGCAGAACACCCCGCCACTCTAAAAAACGACCCCAGGAATAACTGGTTAAGTGGGTACAAGTTTGTTTCTCACAAAATATGTAACTATGATGCATATTCCAAACCAGTTTGTGCTGGGGTGGTACTCCTCGAGACACAAAGACTAGAGGTATAGGTGATTACACAGGCCAGAAAAAAACATCCACCTGCTTTACATATCACCGCCACCTAAAAGGTGTGGGGCCAGGCTCCTCCCTTTCAGGCTTAAAATCCCGGAGCAGAAACACCACATCGTTTTACTTAGCCGTCCAAAATTAAGGAGGGTGTGTTCTCTTTCCTGAATGCGTACACCAAGCACAATAATGTTATACCGCGAATGGCTGGAAAAAGGACTTACCATCTGACATCTTCGTTTATAATCTCGTAGAAATTTTCGAGACACTTGTTGAAGCTGTTCGCTAGACGGAGTGCACTGCCTCCCTGGTTCTGCTGAAGGAGCGGCTGCGTTTGTTGTGGGTCTGTCCCCGCTGTGTCATCCCCGATGAGCTGCTAGCTCGGAAGAACTACAACCAACCTCGGCGGTTTTGCACTGAAAAAATGATGCCCCTTGGATTTTTCCAGCCAACCTTCTTCAGCTGATGATTATCACGGGGAACTACCTGCTACTACTAGTGTGCTACCTGTGCACAACGAGACGATGACTCCAAAGACTATTTTTGGCATCGTGCGATTCTCCCACGCAGCTTGCTGTGTAACGTTGCAATATCATTCTTTGGCCTGTGACCTCGATCAGCCGACTTTGCACTCTGCATAATCAGCTTATTACAATGCCGCTATAATTTTGATAAACCTTGACGTGACCACGGAATGATTAATATTAAACGTGTGTACAATCACAGATGAGGAAATGGTACGTACATTAGTAATTTATGTTAACCAAACAAGGTCACCATCATAAATTCCCGTTGCACCCGAGGCAGGCGCTCCCAGTTAAAAAACAGATGAATGGATATTGAACAAAAAAAGCTTTCCCCCTAAAAACCATACCACTCAGCCGCCCGAGTGTCCCAATAAGATGCTGGTTCCCCCTTGTGCCTCCCCACTAGAAAGCTACGTGACAGCGAGCCACCCAGCTTACTGTGTTACGGAGATGATAGGAATTTCATTATAATTACATACATGTAGTATGATTTAATGTCCTTTATAAATGGCTTGGAACAGATGACTTGACATTCTATCATGGAAATTCGGAATTCTGTGACAGCCCAAACGCGGAATTTGTAATGTAATTTTTTTCCATTTTACATTGGCCTACATGTAGCATCAATATTGACCCGACTCGGATGCTAGGTTAAGTGACCTTTTGTGCAACAGGTATATGTGAGCTGTCACGGCGAAATGGGAGTAAAGTTGCATCCCGCGCTCTTTCCTATTTGAGAGTTCAAAGTCATATTGAAGTGGAGGTCAATTTGGGGTTTTGTAGAAATACTTGGAAAGAGTAACCCGTCTCCTATTTAGTTCCAACAAATGTTATTTTCTCAGCAATTTATACAATAGCTTTATTCGTGCCTTGTTAGAAATGTTGAAACAAAGTCAGAAACAAAGACGCAAAGCTACCAGAATAATGCCATAACACATTGTCACCTTATACTTTTACCCTGAGTGTTCCACGTAGGCCTACATACCATTGGAAAGCTCTCTTTCTGCTGAATTCAAAAATACCAATATCTCAGTTTTTGAAAATTCTGACTTTCAGCTCATTTTGTGGTGACAGGTCACGTATAGTTATCTTATCAGCTGGTCAGTGACATTACTCGTCCGAGTACTTAATTCAAACTCCACCGGCTCCATAAATAGATCTCGTGTTCTGCATTACTCCCCGGTACCACATTTCTCACATAGAAACAGTGCCCGGACCCTGTCTGCAGTGATCATGCACGCAGTGTATCTCAAATAACCCTCAACTGTAGCCGTTCTCTATACCTCTTCCTTCAGCTCTCAGGAAAATTCTCCTGAGCTATGACCCGCCATCAGTAGATCACCTCAACTGCTTACTGAAATATGCTCCTTGGGATTTGTTCATCAATAGACTGACATTAACCAGTCATGGGATGGTTTTCTTGACATTATTGATGCAGCTCTGAAAGATGCCCTGCCTGTGAAACTGGCAAAATCCAGAAAGAAGAACTTCCCTTGGGTTAATGCCGAAATAAAGCACTTGTGTGGACAAAAGCGCCGTCTATTCAAAAGAGCCACGATGCATCGTGATGCATCGCGATGTCCGGTCTAGCAGCCTGTGAAACCTACAAGACTGTTCGCAACCGTTTAAAATCCCTTACTCGCAAAGTTTACAAAACTTACGTTGATAATTTATTTCTCTCTAAGGACAATAAAAAAGATTCTGGTCCTTTGTTAGAAGCAGAAAACGGTCCCCTACTCCACTGTCATTTAAACATGGTGATAACCTCCTTTCTTATCCACAGGAGATAGCTTCTGCCTTTAATATCTACTTTGCCTCTGTTTTTTTCTGGACCAAATTGTATACCTGTTGAATCACTTGTGATTTCCCTATTGACAGTCTCTGCTTTTCTGCTGATAGTATATACAGGATTATTTGTTCCCTGCCATTGGGGAAGGCTCCCGGGCCAGATGGAATTGGTGTGAGATTCTTACGTAATACTGTTGACATGATTTTACCAATTTTGTGCAGAATCTTCGCCAGTTCCATTTCCTGTGGCAGACTTCCTCATGCATGGAAGACTGCAAACATTACCCCAGTTTTTAAATCTGGTGACCGTTCCAAATTGACAAAGTATCGCCCTGTTGCACTCACATGCACTGTAAAATCATGGAGAGAATAATTTCAGATAATTTTCTTAGTCTCATTTACAGGACAATTGTCTAATGTCTACCTATCAAGATGGATTTATTCCCCGTAGGTCATGTGTCACATAGTTGCTCAGCGTGTATCACACATGGCCATCTGCTATTGACCAGCGTAACCCACCAAGAATAGATTTCTTGACATGAGTAAAACATTTGACCGCATGCCTCTCTGGAGGTGGATGAAGGATCGGATTTCTTGGTGGGCCGTCTCCAGTGAGTAACTTTTTTTGGACAAACCTCGGAGTAGCTCTTTAAGGTTTGCATGTGGAATACCATAAGGTAGAGGGTTTACAGATATCACTAATGTTGTAGTCGATGACTTGGGGGACTGTCTTGTTCTTGAAGATTTCAATGGCCTCGCGGATATGTCAGGGGTGCCATTGTTCGATGCTAGCGATGAGATGGGCTTGATGCCATTTGATAGGGCGCCCCCTCCTGTCTAACGGGTCCCCTGTACCCAGGGACTCCCAACCTTCGGTGCCACATGGGTCCCCTGTACCCGGCGCTCTCTCCAACACCCCAACACCAACTGCGACACGCACCAGTGAGCAGCCACAGCAACTCTCAAAACAGTTCTCGCCTTCATGTCCCAGTACCCAGATAGCTTGAATTCCAATTCCCACGCCTCAGTGATCACCCACAGCATACAAGCAGCAGCACAGTTGGATCGCGTCAGTCCTGAAGACGGACAGAGCACTCACTGTCCGAAACGTCGAGGAACCGGTTCTTTCAGGACCACACATACTCAAAAGAGATATTTTCCACGTGGTGTATCCGCAAACTCTCTACCTTATACCTCGGAGTGATGTGCGGTGGAGTGTGGCATTCCACAGGGCAGCGTACGTGGACCTCTTCTTTTTTAACATGTTCGTCAATGCCATCGCCCATAATATTAATTCTGATTGTACTTCATTCGCTAGTGATATACTATTGTACCGTAAAGTTCATGCTCGCTCTGATGTTTCTACTCTCCAGCAGGACCTTGATAAGCTGAGTGTTTGGAATGTTCTAACGGTTTGACCTTCAATGGTAGTAAATCCAAACTTATGCACATCTCCCGTAAACGACACACATCCCTCCCTTCTTAATTTTTTAAGGTATCCCACTGACAGCCTACAATCGGTCAAATATCTTGGACTAGTTGGAGTCACTCTGAATACTCAGCTATCTTCGAACGATCATGTTAAGTCTGTAATTTCCTCTGCAAATCGCACTCTTGCTCTCATCAAAACCATTGTCTTCAACTCTTCTGCTTCAGCAAAACTTTCACGGTATAAAGCTTTCGTCCTTCCCATATATTGCAGTATGGTCTACCTGCCTGGCTTCTTCAGACAAGAAAGCAGGTTGACAATTTGGAGTAAGTTCAAAAACGTGCGACTCGTTTTATTCTTAGTCAGAAGCGTGGTGTGATGAGTTACCCTGACAGGTTAGAAACTCTGGGTTGGTCCAACTTATCTTGTCGTCGTAATTATGCTGTTCTCTCGTTTGTCGCCAAGTTTGGGTTCAATATTGTTGAATGTTCACGATGTTTTGTTTCAGCACCTGCATTTATTTTATTTCCATGCTCTCCTTCGTCTTTGGTCAACTCTCCCTGAACACGTTCGCATTGCTATTGTTTTACAGCCTTTTTTAACGTTTCTTCCCACTCTTCGAAACAGTGTTCTTTTCATAAATCCCAACCCCATATTTATATTGCATGTACATGTAAAGCTTATGACATGTAATTGTGCCTCCCTTCTGCCGATTGTCAGTTACATTTTTTTCTGATGTGTCGTATATTTATCTTGTGCATGTATTTTTGTATTTATTATGTCTTTATTGTTAACTCCTTACTTACTTAATTCAATCAATTTCTTACATCATTTTTATCCCTTTCCTTTTTTATTTCTGCTTTTATTCATTTCCAGCGAGTCATCTCCTGTTATTTCTTTTATATCGAATATTCATATGTTCTAATGTATTTTTATTTTTATATATTCTTACCTATATTTTTTATGTATTTACTGTACTCTTACCTTGATGAGGAGCAGAAGTTCGTCTTCTCATTTTAAGTACTATTTCAGCCTCCTGTTTGCCAATTATCCTTTACACTTTCATTACATTTATTGTACACTTACCTACTGTTCTCTTACACGGTATTATTTTGTATTTAAACTATTTATTATGTCCTTATTTATTGTGTCATTATTATTAATTGCTTATTCATTTAACTTATTAAATTTTATATTTAATTGCTTATATCTTTGATCATTTCCAGTGATCCCTTTTCTTTTTACGTTTAAATATTTTTAAGCTCTAACTTTTGGCTTCAAATACTTTTATATATAAGTATATTTATTTAAAGTTATTTACTCTATACACAACTTGATGTGGAGTGGCAGGTCTTTGGCCACAGTGATTGTTATCGCTTTCGCCTCTCCAATGCCCATCTTGTATGTGATGAAAAAGAATTGGCATGAATAAATAATAATAACAATATCGCACTCTCATCCATTCAACTCAAAGGCAGAGGAAATCAGATCGAAACAATCGAAAGTAAAACCAAAAGCAATTAAGCCATCAAGAAAATAACCTTCAAACATGCAATCATTACTTGAACTAATAAAATATCCGTTAGCTCTATTAAGACCTTCTTAATTCTTCCAAACACTTTACTCAAAAACAACACAACCAAATACAAAAAGGTTTAGAATGCGCCAAATTAAGAATAGAAGAACAGCGAGGCCACAAAAACAACAACTCAATAATAATTCCACTGTATACTGTAATCCTCATTTCGACTAGCTTTAGGAAGAAAACGCAACTTTTACGATCGAAGCGTATACGCGTCCACACATCAGCAAATAACGCAATACATGCCCAGGATGCTTGCCTTGAACATTTCGTTCGTATATATTTGCCGTCTCTGAATGAAGTTAACTTTCGCTTTATTTCCAACAAGCTGGGGCCTTCTATCTTAAGCTCCACTCTTCAGTTTTTCTATATCTGCAGGATCAATCGGAACAAGGAATTTATTCATCGTGGCAGTTGAAACCAGATAAGAATTTGTACGATTCGCCCCGTCTCTCGTAACCAACCTTTGTTGGAGAAAATCGGCTGACGGAAGTCCAGTACTAATCCCACAGACAGTAATCATTTTTAAACAGACGTTTCACTACTCATAAGCCACGCAGAAAAGAGCACGATTGTAGTGTGGAGTTCTTTCATGAAACAGGCAGTCGTTTTAATGGAAAATGCTCTCTGTCATTCTTTAATTTCCCTTATTCTCTCATGATTGATTCTCCAGGAAAAACATCATAAGGGCTAAACATCAGTGATGATGTGCGAACCAGAGAGGATATTATTGTTGTTAAGTGCAACGGCAGGCGAGGTCAGAGCAACTCTCTCGTCTGCGGCCCCCAGAGTGTTCTCGAGCGTGCTGCCCGTGTCACTTTCCTCCTCAACACGCTGAACCTGTCGCTGGTTGGCCTGGGTCTGCTTCTGGGTGAGGGTGCCCGGAGCGAAGAGCCGACGGTAGACGGTGCTGGCTATCAAACCGGCCAAGAGCGGAGCAACCCAGTACACCTGACAGCATTCAAAGAGAACAAACGAAAGACTTGTCCTCCGAATGACCATCCTTGACACTATGATTTTTTTAAATCCTAAACAGGAATTCTCCCGACAAACCAAGTTCTCGTTAGATCTTTTTTTTTATAAGAAGCTATTTCCTGATTTCTTTTTTATTAGTTTGTTATAATAATAAGAACAACAACAGGGAGATGGCTTTCCGTAATTTTGTCATTTGTCGAATGGCAAATCTTATTCTGTGGTAATCTGAATAAAATTGGGGTCTACTGCACGCTTCCTTGCCATTATAAAGATAATTTTTGAAGAAGTGTGTAAATAGAAATTGTCGTATCTGGGAGAGTTCTGGGAAATTTGCCAAGTACCAGCTCTCTTCTGTTGATTGCCAGTCACATTGTAAAAAAAGGAAACACCCAGCTCGGAAACTAAGTTACGTTCTCAATACCTCTTTAAAACCTTTTATGTCTCCATGCAGCTATATCTTCTTCAGACAATACTGACACAAATGTCGGATTTTGCTGCCTTCAGGAAAACGGGAAAGAATCATATCGCGTAAACAAGGTGCATTTACGAGTTTTGGGGGTCGGTAGTTTCATTATTGCCTTCAGAAGAGTTGGAGTACTTACCCAGTGATTACTCCAATTACCCGCTGATAAGGCTGGGCCAAAGGACCGTGCCGGATTCATACTGGCGCCAGTGAATGGAACCTGGTCAATCAACAAAGAGCAAAGTCAACAACATGACGGTACATGAATGGATTTCCACTGCAATACCCGAAGAGCAAAATAAATAAAAAGACGATAGTCTGGTTTAAAGTTCCGTTGCAAAACAACAACACATGCATTGAATATTTGAAATCTGCGATTTATAACAATACTGTATCAAAAAATCACTATTTGGTGCCGATAAGAAGAAATTATGCGATGTTTGTGTACAATAATGTTGTTGAGAAAAAAAATAAAAAACTACATTCAACCAAAATTGCAACACTTTAATTAAATTCAACTTAAACAGAAAATACACTTTTATACTGATTTACCGCGATTAGTAAGCCAACTGCCACAGAAACACCTATGGCCAGCGCAGGTGAGATTCTGTCGTCTTTTCTTTGTGGATCTGTCGTCATGAACACAGTGAAAATCAACTGGAGCGAGACAATCAGCTCCACAGCAAACCCCTGTCCTACTGAAATGTGCTCTCCAAGCAAGGTGCATCCCAGGGTTGCGTTGTACCGAGGGTCCGCAGGCGTGGCCGCTCGGAGCAAGGCCGCGCCCAGGTAACTGCCAAGACACTGAGCGCCAATGTAGAGCAACCCGCGCACCACGCTCAGCTCTCGGTACACAACGAGCGGCAGCGTGACGGCAGGGTTGAGGTGCGCCCCGCTCACTTCACCAAAGCAGTGCACAAGAGAACCGATGACCAGGCCGAAGGACAGCGAGATGTGGAGGTTGCTGGGAGCATTGGCTCCTGGCCAGGCCACCGAGGACCCAGTCCCCAAGAACACGAAGAGGAAGACCGCTAGGCATTCGGTGAAGACTGCACGCCACAAGAGCAAATTCCCAACCACCTTCTCGAAGACGACCCGTCGCCGACGACCAGACTGCGACCCATCCGGCGGCTCATAGTGAGACAGAAACACTGTCTCAGCATTAACTCCGCGAAATCTTGCACGAATCCTGTCCATATTCGCTCACAGACCTCATTTAATTTTAACAACAGCCGACAGTTAACTGACACCATTTGTTTATTTAGCCCAAGCGTCAAAGCAAAATTAAACACAGCAATCACAATTCATTTATTTACTGTGTATGAGGCTAATGATGGAATTAAGTTGGCGATGCCAGTTGACAGCGTATTAGTAGTCATCATCGGATAGCTGCAAGATTTCTTATCTACAAATCCTGGATCCTTAAGTCTTTGACAATAACATACAATGGCTGATCAACACGTGGCAAATTTCCACTCGTGAATGATAGAGAAGCTACTGCTACGGATGGACTCTGCTCCATGATGGGTCAAAGTTAAATACAAAATTTTTAATTTATAGATGTTGTTTAGCAACCACAGATAGCATGTACTTATCAATTGTGTCGGAATAAAAAGCTTTTGTTGTACCAACACCTTTTGCACACATATGTATATGCAGAAACTGCATTATTTCAGGTTAATCTGTAATGATGTACAAATCATGTAAAGACATAATATGTTTGACACTTTATTTTCAGGGCAATGGAAATGCATAAAAAACGCATTTGCTCAATTCACCAGTTGAAGTTAACACGTTTTGGGAATGTATTTAAAGGTTACTTTGAAACTGGGGAGCAAGCACAATTACATCATAATACATGCGCAAAATCAATGTGTGATTAAACGATTTTTATCAAGAAAATCTGGGTTGAATCATGGTTGAATCTTCAGGCAGTTTTTGCGTGTGTATGGGCAGGAGAGTCACTGGCTTTGAGACTGACAAAAGTCCAACACAAGACCTCCAGTCTGAATTTAAGTCACAAGCTATTCAAATGAACTGCAACACAAGCGTGCTACTGGTACTTTTCACACTGTTGCTTATGACTGGTCTTGTGTCTGGTCTCAGGCAGTCTTGACTACAACACCGACTACCCACTGCTGTTAACATACATGTACCAGGCTTCTACAGAAGACAGTCCATGTTTGGAACAGCCAAAATGGTATGACCTGATTGAGAACGCACTGAAGTGAGCTTTGGCCCTGAGAGAAAACATACTTCAGGGCTACCAATTTGGGTGGTAAAATTTTGGGGTGGTAAAATTTTGGGCAGTAAAATTTCAAAAATTGATCTCTTCCAACAGGAAAAAAACTCGAAAAAACAAAAACAAAAATACAGAAACAAAAATGACCACTGGAATTCAAACCAAGAACACCCACAATACCTGTCTTTTACCTTGCTCACTATGCTGCGCAAGCCAGCTCGACCGATCTTCTTTTTTTTCTTCTTTTGTGTCCACGACCATTGGGCATAGCAACCGAGGTGGTGTGGAGGGTTACAACACTTCCCAATAATTAATTCCCGGAGGCAAACAGAACTTTGGTCCGTAAATGTATCCAAAATTGGTACATTAACGATACACGAATGGCCGTTGGCACTTCCCCTGAAGCATAAAATATAGCGTACACAGATTTCCATTTTCTGCACTTTGTAAATTTCACACAACACGAGGTTAGCAAACAAGTTACAAGTCAGCAAATTGACTCTAGCACACCCCTCCCCAGAGAAAAGGCCTTCACTACGCCCTGTCCATAACTCCACATAACGTCAATGAGGCTGGAAAGTAACTTAGGTAATACCATAATATATTCCAGCTGTGTGCCGAACAGGGTCTATTCTCTGTAAAAGCCTCGCTTGGGAATAGCGGTGGTCAGTCGGATCAGGCGGACTGACAGAAAACAAGTTGTCAGCTATGTAAACCAGTGTCGGAGCTTTCAGAGTCACTGGGAGACTTGATTCGCTTTCCATTGCACAACAGTCTCATCTTCCGGATGATGCCTTTGAGGTCAAAGGGCAAAGGTTGAGAGGGGTCATCATTGTCCCACTTTGGCCTGTGGATGGGTAGGAAGTCACGATGAATGGTCTCTAAGAGCCTACGTGGAAACCTGTACAAGAGAAAAGATGAAGTTATTAAAGTAAAAGGGACATGGTAAACGATGTAATAATTTCCTCAAGGAATTAAAATGTATTAAATGGCACCTTTATTACGTGCAATTTTAAATACATCAATCAAAATGAGATCCAAATGCAGACGTGGAAAGGTCACAGCAAGCATATTCTTTGCAAACAGGAAATGGAGACATGGATTTCTAGTCTACAAATAACTGGACATCAGTTCAAGATAGAGGGAACAACACTGATGGAGCTTTCATACTTGTCGAGACACTCCTGTCGCAACTTCCGTCTTTCCTTCAAATGTGGGAGGAGGGCCTCAGCAATCACGGAGCCTTCCTCAGGGCCAAGACGATTTGCTTCTTCAACTGCAAGTTTTGTCTGGCAGGAAAAAAATAAATAAAAATACACCCTAGAACCACAAATAGACAATATTACAATGAAGCGCAGTTTCACAATATTATCACTGGTTCCCATATTACCATATGTTCCATCTTATTCCAGTCTGCCTCCAGGCACTCCATAGCTGGTACCCAGCCCCCCCTCTCTGCAGCGTGCCTTGATCCTTGCATCCAGAACTGACGCAGCCATTCAAACTCCACCTACAATGTGAAAACCACAAACAATGGAGTCTGTTTATCCTGTACTGTGCGTTTGCCTGAGAACACACAATGTGTCTCCCTTTGAAAATAATTAAAGTATCTAACTAATCAGGGAAAGACAAACATTTTAAATATCCCTACAAAGTTTAAGAATCAACCCCAAACTTGAAATCATGTTCTCCAAAACTGCTGACTTCCTGTAAAGTTGTATCTGCCATCTCATGGTCCTCCCCAAAACCACTTCATCCTGTACTGGGAGGGGTTTGCATTCAGGATTATTTTTTCACACAATCTCACAATGCAATAGATGGCTTAATTAGGCCCTGTTGCCAGCTAGGAGATGAGTTTTGGGTTTGTCCCCTACCATGGTATGATTCAGATTTCTGTGGTGGAATACACTTGATTCTTGTCGTCTTAATGCGCACAAACCCGTAGTGCCTCTCCATGGATATTCAGTGCACAGTGGGGATGGCATTCAAGTGTGTTTCATATCTTTCCCCATGATCATAGTGAGTAACCTGCACATAAAGTCCATACAAGTTACTCACCTCATTGTGAACAGTTTCAGTGAAATCAAGATGACCAGCTTGAAATGATTTCAATTCATATTCGCCATTCTCCAACTGACTTAGGTTACCTAGAGCCTCCAGGCATCGCTGCTGGATGTATGAGAGAGTCCCCTGCTGGCACTGAAAGAAAAGACTGGTAAATTCTAACAGTCATATGCTTTGAGAAGATCCCGAAGTAGCAGAGTGCAGATGTACCAAAATCTACAAAACTTTGCAGATGTTTGCAATTTTATACCTTGAGGTTGTTGTGAAAATTTCCAATAGTTTCCTTGTCAGTCTAGTATTCTCAAACCATTAAATGAATTTTTTTTTGGGGGGGGTGACTCCTCCACATTTGTAAGAAAGTAAATTAATGAGCCAGTCACTTTCACACTTCCATCGGTAACTCCATCATTTGAGCTGAACCTAGCTTGGCTACCACCCATCACATAGTGCCAATGCATGTATGCTATCAAAAGCACTAAGACTTACATCAGCAACCCTGTGAGTTGTGCTGAACCTAGCCTGGCTGCCAGCCACCACACAGTGCTGGTGTGTGTCATTCAGATCTCCCAACATGAAGTAGGACTCCCCAGTTTGTAGGGGAATGGCGACACCTGGAGTCTCAATGTCCCATGATACCTTGAAGCCAACCATCCAATCGGAGTCTGTGGTCGAATCTCCTCCATCTGTAGCAGATTTTATCAACAAAAACTTTATCTGAGGATGCAACATAAGATTCTGTACCAAGCATTTCACATGTGTGACTCCTTCAGTGGAGGAACATACCACAAAACACACAAACATTCTTCGGGAGTTTTCAGTGAGATTTTATTGTCACAAGATCATGAAAGGAACTTATGCAATGAAAAAAACTTAGCAATAAGAACTTTCCTTAGTGGGGGGATGGAACATGACACCCAAAGCCCTCAAACCAAGCTTGTCTTTTGTTGAGATCTAAACTGATATGGAACATCAATTTCATGTATACACAAACAAATTCACAGAAAATCAGAGTTTTCAAATTCTTGCTGCACATGTGCCGTCATTTTGCCGGTGTTCATTGAATTGTTAACACAGTATCAAAAATATAAAAAACTTGAGACCACGGCACAATTTACTTTTGAAAAAATTCCATTTAACAGTGCTCCCGGCAAGGCAGGTACAAGGTTAAAGATTGTAACCTGATGAGCATGTGTGGTTGTACACTGCCACTGTGGAGCCCCGAACGAGGTTACCATCCATGTGCCAGCTGACAGCCAGGGGTCCCATCCCATAATAAGGCTCCGGCTTCAGCCTCAAATCTGGGTCCTCTGGGTCCATGTAATTGATGAGCACCACATTGAAATTGGTTCCTTCTTCGATGGACAGCCCATGGGTCATTTGCTTTGGTTCTTCAACACAGATCCTCTCTCGTGGCCTGTCCTTTGAGGAGCAGGGTGCAACTTCTTGTGAGGGAGAACTCTTCAAATGAGTCTGTTCTGCTGTTTTCTTGCGCAGTAATCTCCTGGAGACAGCCTTGTAATGCTCGTTGAGCTTTCCAATAGTCTCACTTGCAAGTTCAACCTCACTTTCAGGCTTATGGTGCCCAAAGGACCATGGGATTGTAAACAGGCGCAAGCCCAGGTACTTGTACGTTGTCCCTGGCTCACCAATCAGAGTACGTGAGATGGGCGTCTGAACAGTCTGACCTTTGACTTTCACCCAGTCCCGGTAGAAGTAACCATGGTAACGAAGTATGTCCAATGCCCATGTCAGTTCTTCATGTAAGGATACTGGAATACCGGTGCTTGGCTCATGTGCAAAGTTGAAGTAACTTTTTCTCATCTGCATAACAGTACCAGAATGTGACCCAATTTCATCCAATTAAAAAATGCAGTAATTTGAATATTCATGTTCATGTATCATGGTTGTGGAAACGAGCTGTTCTGCATACATGTAGTATGTTGTAATTGCAAGTGATAACTGGGGGGGGGGGAAGAGTATGAGACATGATTCATATCAATGACCTGGCCAATATGAGCAATGAAATGTTCAGCTTATTCCATAATCAATCTTGAACTTGTCAGTGACTGAAATTACCAGTGACTTGAAGTCAGGATGATCGGGCATCAAGAACTGTAGTCTCCCTCGGGCAACCTCAGACAGCAGTTTCTTCTTCTGTGAAATGAAAAATAAGTAACAATCAAAAGATTAATTTGAACTAAAGTCAACAACTGAGAGTATGGGCTACCAGTATGCACAAATTTTTTATTTCATTCATTACCAGACAATCTGTAATTCTAGGAGACATTTTTGTTTCACACAGTTTTGTAACTTCTTAAAAAGGTGTGTCTCACTTCAATATTACCTTTGTAGCCTTGCGAAGCCTTCCTAATGCTCATGTCATTACCTCCAGAAAAAATATGGGGTTCATTGCGTGCACTGCTCTCTAAAAGTGCGGTGGGTGTGACTAAAACCTTGAGTGTATTTCTGAGGGGTCATGCTATATAGCGTCAACAAGCGTCAACAAAGTCTCAACAAGTTATTCGAGCATATGTATGCAAACATTTTATATTTACAATTTTAATTAGGCTCCTACATATCATATTCAGCATATCCCATTTATCTAAAATGATATTTGAGTGTGAAAATTTCAGCAGCCCAACCGGCCGACATCTTGTTCTTGCGTGGACGGCAGAGAAAAGAAAGATTGTGGCCCTGTACATGCATCACAAAAACATATTGTTTTCCTGCAAGAATCTGGAAGCAAATTTGCCGTTTTTAAATCTTTAAAGGGTATTTTCAAGTTGTTTATGCTACTTGTGTCTTGACACTTGTTGACGCTAAATAGCACAACCATTTCTGGGGTGCTCACCTCTAGACACCTGGAAATTTTTATTTCTGAAGATGCCATGAACATCAGGACCAAAGTTACACAAGCTAACAGAACTGAAGGATTGAGGGGTCATTTGGGAAGGGCGTTGGCAGAATATGAAATTCACAGTAAAATTATTCTAGGATGTACTACAACCTGGTCAATAGCTCAGCCATATTAGGTGAGTGCATGATGACGATTACTATGATCACACTGCTTCATCACAAACATGACAAAGCACAAAGTTAGACCTGTATGCAGTTGGTAGGCTACAGGGTAAAACTTCCTTTAAAGTATGCATCATGTACATGGATCAACTTGGAACCATCCTCACCAAGCAATGGAAAAGAACACGGTGAAGTGCAATCCCTAGTGCACTATCAACATGTCACATGTTCTCGGGATGGCATTTGTAAACTTCGAGACCCCCTGTTTTTATCATTATTTGTACAAAAGAGGTTGACCTGCAAAATATGCAAAAGGCTACACCTTTGCACCTCGGGAAATATTCTCTTAATGATGTTGACCCTAGTTTTCATGGTTTTTAGAAGAATTTCTGAAGAAAATGCAGCTTTCGTACTTGATTTCCCAAAACAGACAATGACTGACACATCGGACAGTGATGTCGCCATGGTTGTTTTTATTTCCCTCATAAATCAAATCCTTGCTCTCTTTCCACAAATTAATCTTGCAGTTGGAGACAGTATAATCTAGTAACATTAGATTTAAAGTAAAAGTAAAATTCCGTTCTATTAGGAACAGCGTCCCGAATTTACAAACGCCCGAGTGACAGTGTGTTTTATTCCTTCATGGTGACAGTGACAAGCAAAGGGAATAATAACCAGGTAACATGATACGCAATGACAAGGAACAAAATGTTCCATTTTTTAAACATGTTTTAGGCCTTTACCTTTACTTCTTTTCCCAGATCTTCCGTCTGTCTTCTCTTCGACATTTTTGACATCCATCGACGAAGGACATTCAAACTCAAAAATCGCATTGCCGAACTTTGCACTTCTTCATCTTCTCGACTGAAAATTTCTCCAGGTCACTGGTTAATGCTGGTTTCGCACACGTGGAGACAAGAGATGAGTTGTTTACTTCCGGGAAATTTATGGTGTTCCTTTAAATATTACTTCCTTCAAAAGTCAACCTATAGAGAGAAACGAATTAGGCTTTTAAGATATACTTTAGACTAAAATTGCATGGATTTTTCAAACAATATTTGAATCCGAACAACGAATATATATTTTCAAATAAATGAAGCCCTCACAGACTTGTACTATTCCAGAAAGTGGGGCCCATTTATTTGGACACACCAGAATTGTCATGTGCAGGACGCATGCGCATTATTGAACCACAGCTGAAATTCTTTTTCAAATGGCCGGTACTCCGGTAGGCCTAGAGCGACATGACAACAATGAAAACGAATGGAAGTTAAATTGCTGTTCGTGAAATCTGTGTGGTAAGATGTGTTGGGGATAAGCTGGATCATTTAAGGTGGAAACAACTTCCACAGGTTGCTCTGGAGACTTTGAATTTGAAGAATTTTTAGGTTTAGGCCCACTCAGTAAGTTACACTTGCCGTTCATAATTTTACAAATTAGGGCCTGTACAGCAGGCCCTAGAACTGTGAGTCGACCAAATATCGGCGCTATACGATCTTTGGGTTCGACATCTTCCCCATCGATAACTCGTACCCAAAATCCCACACCCGGGACAACTCGTACCCGAGTCAACTTGTATCCGAACATCTCGTTCCCGGGACACTTCAACCCGGGACAACTCCTACCCGGCTAAAACAAAATGTATTTTGTCATGTTTGTTGCGGATTCAAGCATGTCGAGGAAACAAAGAAATGTTTCTCATCTTTTACAGATAAGCCTAATTACCCCCAGAACTGTGGGGTCCGACTTCCACTCCTCATGGGAGAGGAGGGGATGTCGGACCCCACAGTTCTGGGGGTAACTAATAGATAATGATGCCACTGATGGAAGGAAATGAGCCCTTTCACTTGCGGGATGTTGCCATGTCGTTCATCTTTGGCACCACCGTACTAGTCTAGAATTAAAACAGCAATTTAAAAGTGAAACATTGTTTCATACCATGGTGACTTAATAATGAAGGCTTACGTAAGATGGCTTTTCCGTGCTGTTTTGAGTAATGAATTCCTTTCTTCATACGGCATTTACATGTATTAATGAAAGAAAAAGAGTAACTGCACGTATGAAGTATGAAGCCTGTTCCTAAACCCTCAAAAATTTGCAATCCAAAGATTGGAGCAGTCAAACATCCATAAAATGCATAAAAAATTGGTACCGTTTAGGTCGGCTTGCCCTTAACTTGATTTGCGATTTGAATAAATGTGCTCTATTGAGTTCCAGTAATTAAAACACTTTCGGACAATATCACCATACTTTGGCCTTTCTTCTTTGTGTGAATTTTTTTCAGGAAAATCAGTATCAATCGTGAGCAAGGGGACTAAGGACCTTTTCGCTGCCTGCCAATCGCTGGTTCTGTGCCAGTCAAGTTTCAGAAATTAGTGTTAATCAAAAAAGGACAAGTAAAGCCCTTTTCAGTGCTTGCTAAACAGAGGTTTTTGCGTCAATATTTTTTCATAAATTAGTGTCCATCATGATCAAAGGCTTTAAAACAAGCCCAATCAGGTCCTTTTCACTGCCTGCTAATCAGTGGTCCTAAAGATACCACACCACCTTTAATCCTATCTGCCCCACGCCACGTACTGCAACTGCTGAAGCACATGCCTGCTTGCGGGCTTTTTACTACTAGGAAACCCCGGGGAGGGGGGCATTTCTGTAAAACAAAAACCAACAGACGGCTGCATTATCAACAATAAAACCCTGCATTTGGTATGCTGTACGATAGGTCTGACATCACTAATGTTAATGTCACCACAAGCTATGATAACATGCAGGTTTGTCTTGGGTTACGAGTTGTCCTAGGTACGAGATGTCCAACATTCGGACTAGACGAGGGGTAACTTAAGGCAAGATCATAAAGGTCATGCATGAACATGTGTGAATGATAATGTCCTTTATTTTACAGGTTCCATCTAATATGGTCAGATCAGTGTACGTGTAACCAGACCTTGCATCACATGTAATGGATGTAGAGAGTGAGTATGACGAGACACCAGTCCGAGACCCTAGTGGGGGTGCAAGAGGTCATGAGTTGCCACAGGGTAAGAAAAAAATTACCATACTTGGGTACCGGTACGGAGGAAGAACACAGAAGGAGTTACAACTCTGACACATCACAGTGCTCGATGATCATCGCTGCCCGGTCAAACGAACAATAGCAAACATTCCAGAAATGCCTGATTACTGCCTGCAGCTTAGCCGGAAAAGTGGTGCCAGTAATATCATAGCAATATTTGTGGTGTTTTCTTTGCAGTTAACTACAACTTGTCGCAGTGACCAGGAAATAGAAAAAAGCTATCATTAGATTTACTTTTGCTGTCGTGAATAATTTTTAAAAATGATTTTAATGCACTTTTCCATTATCCATGCAATGTTTGCAATTTCATTTTGTCACTCCAAAACATCAATTTTCGAAGTCTTTGTATGAATTTAGCTAAGACTGGCCAACATGTTGACCAACACAGGACAGTTAAGTTCACGAAAAACAAAATGCGCTGTTTCATGTTGACATACCGGGCATGCCAAAAAGTGGTAATTGGCCAGATGTTATAGCCCGGGCAGTTCAAACTCCTGTGTCCTTCCTCCATGGTACCAAGTAGCTTTGAGCTATTCCTTGTTTCCATTGTAACCGTTATCCATCTGTATTCAGCATGTTAGAAAACACCAACCATGCCACTTTTAGCCGGAATCCTGTACTTTGTTTTTGGAGGAAATTAGGACTTCATTGACTGGCCTTCATCATCATATCTACATAAATTCCAGTCATTTGATTGGTGGGTCATTGATCATGCACCTTTCAAGTATTCAATGCATAGCACAACCACACTGCAATAAAATTGAACAGAAATTCCATTCCAACTTTAAATTGATCTGTATTAAACTTCTGTCAAGTGCAGATGTATTCAAAACTTAGTCAGGCTCTGTATGAAGCAAGTAATGACTTTTTTATGTGCATGCATTGTAAAGAACTTAATAAATTTATTTGGTGTCATTTTATTAATTCCGCTCTGCTTGTCACATGAAATGGAACTTCCCATGTGTCACTTCATGAAATTATTCTTACCATTGCATTCATAAATCCTCAGTATTTGTATAATGCCATGAGGGTCTGATATCCAAATAATGTGTTTATGGCTTTCTGCACCCTGTTTGATTTGGAGATCTCTTCATGTTTGGAAGATTTCCTGTGAAGTGCCTTGGTTGAGGGATGGAAACCTGACTTCGCTGTGATGTTTCCGAAAGTAAAAATAAATCATTTTTGCACTGCAACACAAACTAGTACTTCAGTGCCTATTCTGAAAAAACACCTGCCTTGGCACTTTTTCGTCTGTTCCTCCATTAGATAGCGAGCAGCGTCGTGCCCAGCAGAGACGAGCCATCGCCAAGATCAGCCGGGAGGAGTTGGAAGATAAATACCTCCGCCTCCACGACGAGAATCTGGTCCTGAAGAGACATGCCCGGAAACAGGAGGAGAAGATTAAGAAGTTAGTGATTGACAGTCGATTTTGAAGTCTTGACTACACCTGTTTGTCTGTGTCAATGCATTATATGTAGGTTTCTTTAAATTTCTAACATGATAGTGGGGAAGTGTTGAAAGGAGTAGTGTAATTTATGGCCAGATCCCACACAATGAGTCTTAGGTCTTCTTTTGCAGTAATTTTGTTCAGTTTGCATTAGAAAGACCTCTGTTTTGATGGTTGGCACCCTGATGAAAGTGGACATTGTGTGAGTGAAAGCTGTTAGGGATCTTCTACTAGCTTACACAGTGTAAAATTCTTTCAGTTGGCCTTCTTTACCTCAAAAGGGTTCGTCTTGACTTCATGATTCTTGACTCATTTGTTGGATCACATTTACCTTTCACCATGACACTTGCACCCATACAGTTACAGTAGATTCCAAAGCCTTTGTGGGTGAAAAGCAGAGGCATGCATTTTGGCTTTTGTTCAGTTGCAAAGACTTCATTAATTGCTGTCGGTGTTGAGTATGGCCCGGGAAAGTTAAATCTTTAGTTTTTTAATGTGAAACTGTCAAAGCAGGCCTAATAAAAGTTGCAATACATGTATTGTCAAAAAGTTGAAATGTGCTCTGGCCAAATATGCAGAATGGCCACCAAGTTGCTGAGGTTGATCAGTGACCGCAAGAAGCAAGACCAAGAAGGGGGCGGGGCTCAACGGCCAGCTCGCAAGGGGCGGGATATTGAGACAGAAGAGATGCTGGAGGACCTACAGAGCAAAGTACGGGAGCTCACCAAACAGAACGACTTGCTCAAAAATAAGGTATGCGACAGATAGGACTGGTACTGCAGCAGGCCAGACATTTTACTCAGGGAAGGATTCCTTTTGCTTGTGGAGACTACTCACGAAACGGTCCTGTGATTAACATGCTGAGAACCTTGAATTGGGACCCCCTGCCAATGAGTCCTTATCACCAGATCACAGCACTTCAAGATCACCCATCACATTATCACAATCGATTCTAGTCACTTCCTGAAACCCAAAACTAGGGGGGTCAAGGTACAAGACGTTCCAACAGCAAACATTTCGAGAGAACTTGAAACTCAACGTCAATGTTTACCCACTTGTTTTTTCCCATCATGGTAGGGGACAAACTTTATCAGGCCGGCCAGCGTAGACTCATCCATCCATGGGCAACAACATAACTCAAATGAGTTTCCACTCTCCTGAAGGCCTTTGATTAGAGCCTGTTTGGATGGCATACTAATGCATTTTTGTGTCTGTCTCTGTACAGTTGATGGTCACCAAGCAACAGCTTGCCACACAGGGTACCAGACCAACGCCTTATCCACACGTCCAGTCCAGGATCAATACAGTACGTTGTTCATGCCATCTTATGGCCCTGTCCCAATCAACTGTCTGTGGCTAGAATTAACACACTTGTCTGTGGAAATTGCTTGCAGCCGCTAGCCCAGTGGCTTTCATAGGCGCAGGTGTTATTTCTCGTCTCAGCCGTTACTTTCAGATACATTGTTCTTTTGCAGAAAGATTGTCAGGTCGGGGTGACGCAGAGTCAGACCCATGCTTGACTATATGCTTGACCCATGCTTGACTATATACTGGAAACTTGATGAATGAACATTGCTTAATATACTGGAGAAGTGAATGGTTTATTGAAGATTGCTGGAAAATTATGACATCAGGTTCCTGTACTTTGATAACATTTAAATGCTAAAACATAATCAATTTTGTTTAAGTATTCACATTGTTGCAATTTTTTATGTTTACTTGCAGGGTATTCCCAAACCACCACCCCCAGACAACGCCAGGAAGGGCTTGAGAGTACAGGGACTGGACAGAACCAAGTAAGGCAACTGATGTCCAGAAATTCATGCTGCGGGTCTAGCATAGCCCCAAACAACTGTTCTGGATGCATTACATCTTTTGATTGCTGTGAGACTGGGTCATGACCTTGAGTCCAGAATAAATCCTTTTTGCTTCAAGATTGTTTGTAGATCACTTAAAGAAGCAAAAACTTTAGCAGTTTTCCAAATACATGTATTAGTTTTGTGTTCATCGTTGGCTATGCCCAATGTCAGTTCCCCAACCAATATGAGTTGGTAGTTTGCTTCTAAAGAATTAGGGTAAGTAATACAAAGTTACACATGTGAGGGTTTTCGTTTGGGTCCACACAACAAAGGTCTGCAGTGTCATAGACATGGCCCAAGTGGGAAATATTTGTGACCTCTTCTGAGTTTGTTTTTGTTTTGTGTTTTTTAAACAAGAAAGAGCATATTTTCAGTTTTCAAACATTGAAGAAGATGCAAAGTAATGGTTCTAAAGTCAAAGGAACCGAAGGTGCTTAAATGTGTTTTTTGGGTGTGGTGTGTTATTTGAACCCCATTGCCCGGATATTCCTTAATAGTTTCTAGAATTGTTTTTCTTCCATTCAGATCTGCAACACCCAGAGCCTTCAGGACAGATGTTCTGCCGAGATATGGTCACAGTCTTTTGGAGGAAGCCAGAGAGGAAAACCACCGACTGTAAGTAGTTTATGGAGAGTTACCCCATCTCACCACCTGTAGATAGAGGAAAGGAACCGTGTAGGACTGAGTCAGTTCTTTAGTATTCAGATCTTTGAATGAAATATTCAGATATTTGTGCTTGCAATTAAATATTTGGAGATGAAAATCAGTAATAACAGGGAGTTCATTTGTTTGGTTGTGAAATCACATTCGAGAAGCAGATTTGAAGGTGGTGTGAGTNAGATTTAAAGGTAGGTGAAAATGCATAAATGCCCAACAAGATTTCCTCTCCTGAATTTTGTTTTTTTTCTGTTTACCTTTATAAAAATACATCTTGTTTCTGATTTTTTGGCAATTTGGTTCAACCAAATATTCTTTCAGTTGAAAGGTATTAAAAACAATTCATAAGCTTGCCGAGGTGGAACTCGAACCCACGACCTCCTGTGTATTAGTGCAGACATCTTGAGCACTCGACCACTGAGCCTACGAGGATGGGCTAGCCGGTCCAAGTCTAGCCTTTGATCAAGGCGCCCACGGCGAAATAGATAGTCAAGACCACATGATGAACCGCATGCAAGCCCGAAATTAACCATGCATGCCATGTTGTAGCCGTGTGTTGTGGACTGTGCGCGCCGCCGCAAGTGCCTTTAGAGCTTTGTTTCCAGTGGTTTATCTGAGTTATTCAATATGCTAATGTTATGAATTATTCACATTTCTCTGAACCAATCGTGTTTTGGGGGCTAAGTAGTCCGAGCATGTCTAGGCAACTTACGACTTATGCATACGCTTGTATCGTATCTGCTACTGAAACGGTAGCAAATGTAAAGAAAAAACATAAGCTACGTGGGGCAGAACCCCAAAGGCGTGCAGGGCGTGCGTGCGGTTCGTCGTGTAGTCTTTCGTCGTACATTGGTTTGGTGCTTAAACTAGTCTCCTCCAGCTCCTCGCTCTTGAGCGACTATCCATCGCGCCGCGGGCGCCTTGATCAAAGGCTAGTCCAAGTCAGATGTAGCAGCAACAAGTACCACAAACTATTATTTTGCTAGCCTTTGCACAACACCACCCACACAGTTTTCTAGAGATATGTCAACGTAAGGGCAAAATGCATCACTGGAAAAAAAGAACAAAAAAATGTCCTTCCCAAGTGCTGGGCTCATCTTATAGCACATTCATACAGAGAAAGTTATTTTTGAGTATAGCTGTGCTGTTGTTAATACAATGCTTGGAAACTGTGTATCCTGGCTCAAGATAACCTGTGCTTTTAGATTCTCCGGTTACTTCTCTTTCCCTGTTATGCCAACTTGTCTTGATTAACTTTAGAGAGGAAATGATTCAGGATTTGCAAGATCACATATCATCATTAGAACAAGATCGGGAGATTCTACAGGAACAAGTAGGTGCAACAGGGTGTGAAAGTTAGTTTGGAAAAAAAAACATGATTTGTATGTTCAATTATGTCTAAGACCTTAACCCTAACCCCCTAAGGGTTGCTGGCCCTAACCTTCCCCAT